GGGGGAGGAAGATTCAAGAACTAGAGGAAAATTGTATATTTCATCATTGCTACACTGTAGCCTGACTGGCTCGTCTCCTCTCTGCAGCCTTTCTGCAAAGGGGTGTCCAATTTCCCACAAATGGGCCCTGGGTTCCCGCTCCACACTCCCCCTCATTCACAATGCTATGATTTTTTTTTCTTCTGTTCTTTGATGCCTGATACATGATCCCTCTGACGCCTTGTGATCTCACAGGCTGGTGTGCTTTTTCCATGTGGGCTTTGTTGTTTCTCAGTTAGATGGCCCCTTGTTTATCTTCCAGCCTATTGGACCCCAGATTCTATATCTTTTGGCATCCGGACACTGTTAGCTTTCTTCACCGCGTTTGCTTATGCACCTACTTTGTCTTCAGCGTTCATGTCAGGGTAGGCTGGTGCACATAGCTTTCTTTTAAAACAGCTACATTAGTTGGTTTACTCTTTGTTTAATTCTGAGGAATGACTTAGTATATCAGTCTATGCTTATCTATGATATACTGTTCCTAAGACCTGAAATATTTTGCACTATCGCTTGCCTATTATGCTCAAAATTGAAATATTAGTATTATTATTATATTTAAAAACTGCTCAGCACTATTTTTGAAACTCAAATAATTTTTTACAGTATATTTAGGAGATTCTGTAAAATATGTAAAAGGATTTCAAAAAGTTCATGGAAAATGGAATTGAAAGATAATGGAATTTTTTGAAGACCTCTCATATAGAAGGATAAAAATAGAAGGAATTACATCTGTAAGAGTTGAATTAACAATCAGACCTAGCAGCTAATCTTCCTACTGTGAAAACCCCTCTGCTGTCCAGTAGATTCTGACCATATAGGACTGAGTAGACCCGCCCCATAGAGCATCCAGGGCTGCAAATCATTACGGAAGGAAACTGCCTTATCTTGCTCCTGTGGAGTGGCTAACAAACAAACAAATCCACTGCTATCTAGTCAATTCTAACGTATAGCAACTATCCATTTATGTTTCTGAAGTTTTCAATATTTAGGGGAGCAGAAGCCTCATCTTTTCCCTACAAAGTGGCTGGTGGGTTCACAATGGAGACCTTGTAGTCTCAAATCCCAAATTCACTCAAACCTCCAACATTTTGGTTAGCAATAAAACTCTTAATCACTGAGTCACCAGGACTCTTTCATCCTACTGTAATGCTGCACAAGTCATTTCGTACAGAGAGCAATCTTTGAAAGCTAGGAGGAAAGAAAACCTGAGAAATTTATTGTTGTCATTATCTGTTGCTTAGGAAGAGACACATGAAGAAAGAGGTTGTAATGCATTCTTCCTTGTGTACATGATACATCCTTCTTGTGTATGTGTTTCTAGGTTTTCAGAAGAAATAACCAGCAAGTGGCTGGATCTCTTTGAAGGCAGTGGGATCCCATATGGTCCAATCAACAATATGAAGAATGTATTTGCAGAACCTCAGGTTTGGCTTTTGGTACATTGTGGTTCACAAGATACAAATTTGCTTCTCTTTCCCATCTACATTGATTTACATAAATGCACACCTTTGGTCTTAAGCTTTTGTCAAACAACATGATTTATAGCTGTTACATAAGAGCTGTTTATGGGCCTGAAACAGAATCACAATGGAAATTTCTGAGATTAGGGCATTTGTTTTTCTTTAAAAAAAAAAAGAGATAGACAATGGAAAGCTTGGGACCAGGTGTTCCGGGGTCACTCTTTGTAGAAAGAAATACAAAACTTCACGGTTCCAGCCAACGTCTGATCACATGACTGTTGTAAAATGTAGCAACCAATTTGTAGTTCATTTTGCAAACAAAGAGGCTTTTAATATGCTTTGATTAATTGTGTATCATTTGTTAAAGTTAAATTATACCCAAATAGAGATTTGTGTAATATACTGCTTAGCAGATTCCTGTTAGAGTCGAGGAAGGATGGTCACCTTAGCAAAAAGTCTCTTGAGACTGTTTAAATGTTTATTTTTGGACAACTGCTAAAATGATGTCTTGATTTTATTACCTCAATTAAGATCACTTCAAGCAATTTACCTTGTCTCAGTTTTACATATTAACTATATTAACCCCAAAAGGTTGAGGAACTCAATTTTTATGTAAAGGTTCCACTATGATTATTCATGTGTCTTGTCAGTTCCCAACATTTCAACCTTACAAGTATTGTTTTAATTTATGTTGTGGCAGATTTTTCTTTGAAAGAAATTATTGAAACTGGGATGTCTCTTTTTTCGGGAAGATGACTTTGTGAAAAACTGACCTCTCTAAACTTTGATGCTTTCATCTTCCATGAATATCTATTTAAAAGAGAATTGAAATGTACTTAATTAAATGCTTACAGTATTTATTGGAGAAAAAAAAGAATCAATTTAGGAATTCTTCCCTGCGTTGCTTTTTCCCCAAGATGATGTGTATAACAGAGCTCTGCCCATAAAAAGGATAGTCAATAAATACTTATGATAAGGAGGCCCACCTGATGTCGATTGAGTCACAGTGTCAGTGGATTGCTGCCTGCCATTTGCGTGTATTGTGAATGTAGATCACCTGGGCCAGTTGTCTCACTTCGTAACTGAGTGAGTCAAGCTTGGTTTGATGCCGTTTGTTCCTGAGGAATTGTTGGATTTCACTATTCCTTCCCTCTATTCATACTCCTCGGCTTACCTGTGGCATTGAGATGTGCGGAGGGTCACATTTCACCTGATTTGGGGGAATGCACATTTCTATGAAGATTTTTCCTTGGAGAGTTCCCATCAGTGTCTTGGTATTGTTGTACCCCCAGGTCCCCTGCCACCATCCTTTTTTTTTCAAGTCAGAGATAAAGGCATCAATAAAGGCCTTTCAAAAAATTTAACATTATAATTATATTCAAATGTCATAATGACCAAGTACCAGGATCCTGTACAGGACCTCAAAACTGACAAATTCACTTTATGGGCTAGCTCAGAATAAGAATGGGATAATTAAGGTTTTCCACGCCCACTTTTCTTTTTAGTTCCGTTTAATTACTTTAATCCTTGCATTTCATTTTCCTCTTTTTGGGGCCTAAGAATATAAATTTCTATTACTGGTCTGTATCATACTTTTAGTACTGAGCCTACTTTCCACGTGGAGATTGATATTCCCTAAGCCAGGATACCAGCTTTTCTTATTATCTTAAGCATCTGCAAAATATATGCCAAGATGTCTTCGACCTTGCATTGCTTCAGACTACTGAAGATCTTTTTATTATTTATTTTCTATGGAAGTTTCTCATAAGCAAGATTTCCATTTGCGGCGTTCTCCCTTGCGTTTCTCCTGATGAGCTGCAGAAGGTCTTACCCCCAGGTACAGGGAACCCGCTACTTCTGTGCAGACGTGGGAACACACCGCTGGCGCCTGTAGCCCAGCTTTCCATGTGCGCTGTGCCAGCGCAGCTGCTAGCTCAACTCTAAATTGCTTTGCGTGAAGTACAAGGTCTGGAACATGGCGCAGGAAGTGGGACTTTGATGAAGTGCCTCACGCAAAAAACAAAAACAGAAACAAAAGAAAGATTAGAAGTAGCAAAGAACTGGCGAGAACTTTCTGTGGGCCTACTTATCAAATGGACCATTTACATCTGTGATTTGACCTTGATAGACCAAAAAGTTTACTTCATGATAGAAAGTATTTTTATCTGACTGATTTCTATCAGTCTCAGCAAAACCCAAACAATGGATACATGGAAAGTTGTTTATATTTTATCTGCTGATTATGTGCCTTTGATGGGTTAAAATGATCCTACAGGGTGGGGCTGTTTAATCTGCATTTACTGATAGTCCTGATAAACTGATCCCAAGGTGGTAATTTTGTTGACTTTCTTCCTCCATGACATACTGTCTGTGGAAACCCCTATGCGTTTTTTAGAGGTACAATATAGATTATCTGCATAGAGATTTTAATATTCATTCATTTTTCCAAGTTTTTTCTTAAAATATGTTCTTTTAATCAGTTCAAGGTTATACAGTACATTAAAGGAATTCTTAAAAAGTTTCAAAATCTTACTATATGACCTCAGTATGGTCCTATTTAACATACCCTTGGGAACATGTGCATGACATACATTGTGGTTTGAGCTTTTCCAACCTAAACAGACTTAAAAGAAAATTCAGTTTTTATTGAAACTGTTCATATTCCATCAAGAATAGGTATGGATCTCACCACAAGGGAGGGTTCTAAAACAGTATTATCTACTAGGAGAATCAAAAGAGAATTGTCATCCTGCTTTTTAGTATTTCTCGTAGGATTGTGTATTTGGAGATTCTAGTCCATCAGCCTTTTGAATGAGCTGCTCAATTAAAAAATATATGAATAACCAGGACCTCTGATTAATGTTTTTCTTGTCCTGGATGCCTTGACCTGAGGAAAGAGACGAAAGGGCAAAGGATGTCACAAAACTGGTGTTATTTAAGAGTCCTCATATTTGTACCACACACGTTGAATACATCAGGTGTAAGACGTCACCCGGAAGAATCACTTCTGAGAACTGTTGGGAGGGAAATATCAGAACTGAAATATTGCAGCTGGCCCTGATTTTAACTGGTGCCAAACACCTGCAGGCTCTGAAGGATACCAAAACAAAACCCCACCCTGTGGCAGCAAGCCATCCCTTAACTGCCCTTCCTTAACTTTGCATCACCATCAAAATTAATTTAACATTTTCTACAGGAACCTTATTCTTCCTGTCCCAGAAGGCCATTACAACTCCTTGAGCAAATCTTCCGTATGGGATAAATATGTCATAGAAACAACAGAGCAAAGTATTGAAACATTTGATGGCTGGAAATTATCTGTTGTTTTCATTCATTATTTGTGGAAGCCTGTGATGTTGGAGGTTTTATTAATCTCTAGGCTACCTCTTATTCTCTAAGTGATTTTGTGTTAGCACGCTTTGACAAAATATCTGAGCATCTGGGAATAAAAACTTTAATATTCGTATAGTAATCATTAGAAACACCCCAATGTACAGAGCACTTTCTAAAACACACACACACACACACACACACACTGATGCATTTTTAAGATCATATTTGATCGACTCTTGTATTTGTTGAAATGACGTTTCATAGTCCTGAGAGGGTTATACAAGTCAAGCAAAATTATATCCTTATTTTTGACACTGTTGGGACACACATACATATAATAGTTTCTACAACTGGAAAATAGTTGATAAAGACATGAGGTACAACAGAATGTGTGGAAAAAATTCCTAGCAGACAGGGAGGTTAAAAAAAACTTACGTACATTTTAGATGATGCAGAAATTTAGGTATGAGATGTGTTTTTATTTTATGGTAACTAAGTATAATATATTTCATTATTTTTGGTGAAATGATGTATTTTCAAATTGAGTGATTAAATTATATACAAACTCATAGTTTAGCATTTTCGTTCCAGTTCTAGAATGTGCAATATGAAGAAATAATATATAATTTTATTTTGTTTAATTGAGAAGAATATTAATGCAAAAACATTATTATTAAAGTTTGAAATGAAGAATAAAAATAAAGGAGTTAGGATAGCATTACTGATATTTTATATTCATTTTTTTCTATAGTCCTAAGAAATTTGGATGCATTTTGAAAAAGTCACAATTTCTTTGCCCTATTACATCTACATCTATATTAGATATTCAGTTTGAGTATATTTTATTATTATTATTTAAAAAAAATCATTTCATTGGGGCTCTACAGCTCTTATCACAATCCATACAAACATCCATTGTGTCAAGAACATTTGTGCATATGTTGCTATCATCATTTTCAAAACATTTTCTTTCTACTTGAGCCCTTGGTATCAACTCATATTCTCGCCCCCTCAATAAACCCTTGATAATTTATACATTATTTTTTCATGTCTTACACCGACCACTGTCTCCCTTCCCCCACTTTTCTGTTGTCAGTCCCCTGGGGTCTTTGTGTGTTATATGTTGATCATTGTGATTGGTTCTCCCTTTATCCCCCTCCTTCCCCTTTTCTGACTGGTATCACTATTCTCATTATTGCTCCTGAGGGGTTCATCTGTCCTGGATATGCTGTGTTGCAAGCTCTTGTCTGTACCATTGTACATGCTCTGATCTAACGGGGTTTGTAAGATAGAATTGGGGCCATGACAGTGGGGTGGAGAGGGAGAGTAGGCATTAAAGAACTAGAAGAAAGTTGTGTGTTTTGTTGGTACTGTACTGCACCCTGACTGGCTCGTCTCTTTCTTGTGCTGCTTCTGTAAGGGGAGGTCCAATTGTCTACAGATGGGCTTCAGGTCTCCACTCTGCACTCCCACTCATTCACATCAATAGGATTTTTTGTTTTGGATCTTTGATGCTTGATACCTTCGACACCTCATGATCGCACAGGCTGGTGAGCTTCTTCCATATGGACTTGGTGCTTCTCAGTTATATGGCCTCTTGTTTATCTTCAAGCCTTTAAGACGCCGGGCGC